AGTCTCCCCTCCAGGTACTGGCCAGGCTCACACTGCTGGGCTCCAGTGGGGCTGTGAGCTGGGAGCTGCAGGGTGATATGGTCTAGTCTGCCATCCATAATTATTACTTTACATGCATGCTGAACAACATACCTGTGCCATTTTCTCTATAGTACCACGTACATCACAGGACGATGACACTTCCGCAATGGTGCTCACAGAGCTTTTAAAGTCCTGCAACACCTTCTTCAGTTTCTCTTGCATCTCCACTGTTTGCTCCTGCAAGGGTCCCATACTCTGCGCTTCTATCTTCGTGGCTGAAAACAACGCTTGAACATCTTCGATGTCCTTCTGCACCGCCCCCCAGTCTTGAAATTTCTTTAAATTCTGCACCGTTCTCTTTGAAAGCTGTTGATCAAACATTGTTGTAGACGGTTTGGCTTTTTTTAGCTGTAAAATTATAGAAACATAAAAGAACGAGGTTAAGCGTGCAATGTTATATGACTCCAAATATTCCTAGAAGCACACAGTAAAAAATTTAATTTTCATTCTAATCAAATTGGGGTTTCGTTCTGTTTTTTGAGAAATTTAGAACTACTTAAAATCCCACCTGTGATCTTTCATGTTGCTGTCAACACATAATGAAAAAACCTGACTGCTGGTTCATCTGCAGTCATTGAGCACCAGTATGTTCTCTCCCTGACCGGAGGCCCAGAGGCGACACGGGCTTGAGAGACAGGTGTCACCTGCTCTGTGACCAGGAGGCAGTTGAGAACAGGGTATGAGGAATCGTCACGGCCGGCCTTCTGTGTACGAGCCCCGAGCAGGTAGCTCTGCCCAGACCCGGGACACCCTGACCCAGCGGCAGACCACACAAAACACAAGCTGGAAACCACAGTGTTCGGTTCAAGCAGTCACAGTCCAGATTCAGCATTACCCACTAGCGAAAATGGTGAAAACATCGTGTGCAGCAATTTTTTTGAAAACCTGCTTTCATTTTGTGATCACTAAGGAGTATTCAGACACTGTAATGTAATATAGTAGCTCTTTCACCTTTATGAAATACTTAAAACCTCTTGTGAATGAAATCAAATCAGTCTAAAACATAATTCCAGTGTACCTGTAAATATAACACTAACAGTTCATAGTTTATACAAAAAAGCGAAACAGATATTCAAATATGCACAATAAAAAATACAAAACACACTTACAGCTTTAAAACGTTCTTCGTTACTTCACACAAGTGAAAATCCCCTTTTAGTTT